TTTCAATAATGAAAAGAATGATGGTATACCCATATATTTATGTTTGGAAACTTGCATGAGTGAGTAACAGTCAGAGGAGAGCCATCAGGCGAAATATATATATAGGAAGGTTTCTGAGGCAGCATATGAAGGAACAATATGTGTCCCCTGGAAGTAGCGTGGGGAATTAGACCATTTAAAGTTCAAGACAACACGCAAGTACACAGCATACTCACACACACAAAAGATAAAAGTTCTTTTTTTTTTAATTAAAAAAAAAAAAAAAAAGGAAGAAAAAAAAATGCCCCCCGCACATTTTTCAAGATCAACCTTAAGTGTATTAAAACACATAGTGGTGGTGAATACGAAATGATCTTCCAAGCGGTGCAAGAAGAATTCATAGAGAGGAGTTTCGCAGCAGTTACAAAAGAATAAACATTCAACATACTCTGTCCGCAGCTGCTTGTAGAGTAACGTGATCTCCCCATTCACCCGATCTAGTGAGATGCAAAATTTTGCGTTAGAATTAGAAGAAGCAATTACTCGGTTCATAAGACAAGTTAAGCCATCTTGAAAGGGGAGATGTCAATAAGCGTAGTCATAGATAACTCACTTTTTCATCTTCTTGAGGTAGCTTTTGTACTTCATTGGAACATAGCCTTCATATAGTTTTCTGAATTTCTTTAACTGACATTGGAGGAAAAGAGGAAATTGTGCAATAAGAAAAATATGGCAAGTGGGGTTTTTAAGTTCTTTCCCATAAGTGAACGGGAATTAGAATAAAGCAAGAAAATGGAGAAAAAAGAAGATACAAGCAATAGAGATGGGTATTGAAAGCTAGATATGCTTCATGAAGTGCAGGAAACTGGTCTGAATAGGCAAGAACAGAGTTCAATAAAATTTACTGTACAAGTGAATTTGATATACAGTAACAGTACCACAGACAAAACACGACTAAAAACTGGGTAATGAAACAAAGGAATTAGTAACAGAAAGCCAGTAACTTTTCTCTTATTCAGTCTCATACTAAATTTAGGAAGAGAGGCAGTTGAAACTGTGTAGAATAATTTTCTAATGGTGGCTTGATTTCCTCCCACAACACTCGAGTCTTGATTATTCTTTCGTACCCTCTACTTTCCCAGACTAATACTACTAATACAATAGTGCTGCTTGCGAGACATATTTTACTGAGGCAATTTCATTCCCATTCACAAGATTTGCAGAAACTTCTAGACTGGGTCAAAGAAAAAATCATATGTGATCTCCTCCAATAACATCCTTTCATATGACACTCATCCTAGGGTCCAATATGGAAGCTGGCATATGGTGCTTTTCAAGGTTGAGGAATCAAATATTGTCTAAGGATAACTTCAAGATCTGTAAACATGAGTGTCTGAACAACTTACTTGAATCTAGACTAATTCATCGGATGACACTCCGAAGAATTTAGAACTCGAGCTTATAGAATGTTCATATGATATTACTTCTAAAACTTTAACTCGATCTCAAAGACATTTAATTTTAAATTTTATCCAAGGTAATATTAAGAAAATTAAATTGAAAATTTCCAGACATCCATAACTAAGAACCCGTATCTCACACATTGCATTCAATCCCTTAATAAAAATTTATCAAATTCTATAAACATTTATTTTTACCAACATTCATCATGCAATCAATGGCTAAGTAGCATCAATAGAACAGCTAAAATGATTAGACGCATCAGTCGAGTTTAATTTACAGTACCTGTTTGATGACTGCCTTTCTTACATGCTTGTGGTAATCAGGATTTCGAAATAATTGATCTGCTAATGCTCGAAACTATTACATTAAAAAGATATGTTATTTGAAACATCATGAGATGAATCAACAATAAAATACAGATAACTATAAATTTCAATACAAAAAGATATTGACAAGAACTTATTAAAACCTGGCAATTCCCATCACCTTCCATCTGTAGCTCCGCTAAACCATATGTGGCCAGTCTGTTAAAAAAAGGACTCACTATGATCAATAAAAGCTACATTGTAAGTACACTAAAGAACAAAGCAAAAGTCTATTCGGCCAATATAATCAATGGCTAGTCATATTTTAGCATTAGACTGTTTCTTGAAATTAATTTTCCTGGATGTAGACCCTGATGTAAAATCAATACCTTCCTGACAGCCGTTCATGGTCTAGGGTTGCATCATTCACGTTTGGTATCTCCCCATTGACCCGAGGAGTATGCTGCAATGAACATAATAAATCACGACTTTTAATTATGATAACCTTCCAGAATTTGCAGATATCAGAAAGATAAGCATAGTTTTTTTCTCCATTATGAATTGAAGGAGGAGACAAATAATTACATAAGTACAGGGGCATGCAATTGATGCCTGTGTATGATACAACCTGACGCAGCAGACTGTTAGGAACCACGGACCTCCACAATGATATAATATTGTCCACTTGGAACATAAGCTCTCATGGTTTTGCTTTTGGTATCCTCAAAAAGCCTCATACTAATGAAGATAGTATTTCTTACTTATAAACTCATGATATTTCCCTTAATTAGCCAATGTGGTATCATAATAATGAACAACCTAACGGTTTTTTTTTTCTTTCTTTTATGAAAGAGAATTCATAGGACCATTAAAAATCAGTACAATCTTGCATTCATAACATAGATAACAATAGGAAATAATCCAATAATGTAGAAATTAACGAAGTAGAAAGAAGTTAGTACAGGGATGGAATCCAGATGGGATAGTCTCTTCCCGAGCTTGTTATCAAACTTCAATTTTTCTTCCTCTGCCGAGATTCTGGCAAATGTACGATCATCTTCAGTTTCCTGAAAGCTGCTATTCAAACTTGAGCTTGAGCTTACACTTCCGTTGCTGTAGTTATCAGTCATATTACCTTGACAGCCACTGGTTCTTAGAGAATATGAGAAAATGATGTGAATTAGAGAAATAATCCATTTAAAACTGGTACAAGCTCACTATAAGTTGGTTAACCCACAAGCATAAACAAAAAGTACAGTGTTTCTTTTCTTTCCGTTCTGTAAAGAACAACTGAATTGAAACACATAATTACAGAAGAAAGAGATGGGCGAAAATCTAATCCGACCTATTAGTTAAAGAGATAAGATTAGAAGAAACTCTCCACGAGGATAACAGTTAAAGAGATGTGATTAGAAGAAGCTCTCCATGAGAATGGAGCCATAAATTTTCTTAGAAATGGACAGAATTTTACAATCGAACTTTTCATGTTTATAACTTTCGATTAAGAGGCAAAGTTTGAGAAAACTTACAAATATGAATGTTTTTATACAATTTTCTAAACCTAAGACGAAGAAATGGAGCAATCCGTCGCCGCTCAAAATTCTTCAGTATTAGAAGACCAAAGACATTACAAAATCGCAGGCCTCATCGATCTCTCTTCCTAAAGCTAATAAAATTTTAATTTCCTAAGTTTCCAAATCTATCAAAAATGGAAACTAGGAAAGACCAAAGTCATTCGGATAATTCTAGTCTAATAATATCACAAACTTAAGAAACGACTGAAAATTTTATGCTTCAAACAGATGCCAATACTTGAAAGTATTTTTTCTGCGAATGCTGCAATTTAGAAAGAGAGAGTATCCATTTGGAAATCAAATCAGATAGATATCAATCAGTGATGCTCGTCAACTCTTCATTTCTTTCATAGATCAGGTCGCCTTTTGGTTTCTAAAAGATATTTAGACAGACCAAAAGATAAATAGCATCTTAAATTCTTACATCAGTAATCGATCCAATAACAGTAGATCGAATGCACCAAATATTTCACTATTCTAAAACGCGACAGAAATTTATCACCAATAAAAGCAAACTACAACAAACAACAATTAAAACTAGTTGATAAACAAAATCAAAACAACTCAACCGAGGATTACTTAACAATACCTAAAATTGAAATCGGAAGCAATTCAAGTAAGATCGAACCGATTTACTGCAGAGAAAATCAATAAGCTTCCAATCTCGACCTCCGGCGATCAATTATCGAAAAAAAAATATATCACAATCAAATCACGACAAATCCTTCAACTCGACATCAATCTAGCAACGCAAAACGGAACGATCAAATCCTCCAGTTTCTGTTCAATCCTTTCCCGGCACCAAGACACAGCTTAGCCAAGCTTAAGCTCGAAGAAAATGGGAGTAAGAGAAAAGTTGCAAAAATCGGATAAGGCTCGTATATATATATTTGCGTAACGCAAGTACATTTGTACCATTAGTGCATAAATTAAATGTTAGAACTTTTAAAACAATATAATTTTAGTGTTAAATTTTACTTTTATTTCTCATTTAATTCAAAAGCATTAAAAAAATAATATAGTCTCTTACATTCTTAATTAGTTCTAGATTTAGTTATTGTAGTGAATTAATTTATCTTAAAAAATGTTTTAAATTTTATAAATTAAAATACCATTTTCGTTTCTCTACTATATGATTTTTTTCAGTTTTTGTAATATATATATATTTTTTTTTTTCTTCTTTTGCGCCATTACACCATCTTATCGATAGTGATTGGAGCTGATATGAATCCAACAACTGATCACTTCCATGTACCCGAACACCATCCTATCGATAGTGATTGGAGCTTATATGAATCCAACAACTGATCACTTCCATGTACCCGAACGAGCAATTACAAGAAGCAATACAAAGAAGATTCAAGTATCAAATCAAAAAAAGAATGGAGTGACAGACATTGGAAAGTAATTAGATGACTTGTCTTGATTGTAGTTGGTGGTTGAACTTTATTATGTTAGGGTTATCTTTTGGGCCAATTCAAAGGCTGTAATATTCATGTTTGAATACGAATCGTTGAATACAGACAAAACCTTTGTATTTTAAACCATCGAATCAGTTTATTCATTCGATTGTTAAACCGTCGAATTCTCCCAGATTGATCAATTCGTTTCAAGAAAATTCAACCAAGACCAACGATCTCGTAGCCCATTTAGCTTCTTTTTTTTTTTTTTTGAGGAACCCATTATCGGGTCATACAATCAAATCGAGTCACGTTTTTTTTACCAAAAACTAAACCCGACAACTTAAACGCTATAGAAATTTAGCGAACGAAAGCTTATTGATGTCTTTGATGAAGGTCGTGAAGCTAGAGTTGACTCTAGAATTGGCCTCTTCCCCCATTATCCTCTCATGAAGCTTCATCAACCTCCCCTTCATCTCTCCATCCTCCATCACTTTCCTCACTCCTTCTTCAACCTCTTTCTCTCCAAAACCATTGAGTTTCAACCCAATTCTCCACACTTTCACTACATACCCACAATTCAAAAATTGGTCGCCCGCCACCGGGAAACAAAGTAGTCGCTTTCGACACTGAATCGCTTCCATGATCGAGTTCCACCCACAGTGAGATAGATAACAACCGACTGCTCTATGTTTCAAAATCTCCATCTGTGGAGCCCATGAAACGAGCCTCCCATAGCTTTGAATCTGATACAAATATGAATAAATAAGATTAAGGATACTTAGAATTCAAATATATATATATATATATACCGTAAAATTAACCACACAAATTATAAACTATGTTTTTTTTATATATAATTCAAGTAGAGGCATTAATAATTTGAACCTAACTCAATTACTATACACCTTAAAATATGTTATTGAATTAAAAATGCTTAATTAATAAGTAAAAATATTTTATCTAAAAAAAACTCTTAAATTTTTAAAGGTTTCAATATTATTAATATCAAGTTCGAAATATACTCATAAATTTTAAAAATAAATTAAGATCGTCAAATGTTTTTAAATATATTTAAAAATATACCTTAAAATTTCAAAAACATTTTAAAATTTAAGAATATTATTAATATCATGTTTCAAAAATACCCAAAACTTTAGAAAAGATCTTAAATATTTTTAAACATTTAAAAAAAATTATTTTACGTTTCATTTATATATTAATAATAAGAATATTTTTAAAATTAAAAAAAAAATTAATATATTTTTTTTTTATGAGTTTTTAAAATTTTTAAGGGATAAAATAAAAGGTTAAAGAACATTTTTATTAATTTAACCGATTAAAAAAATAAAAGAAATATATTATATTTAATCGCACCTTTTGTGTGAACCCGATTGGTAACCCATCTCGCCAATTACTTTTGAGGACCCAGATGAACGGTTTCCTAAGACCCAAAAGCGCCACGGCCAAGCTCCTCACCTTCGATTCGTTAATGGGGCTAACCCAACTCCCAAACGAGATGTACACGACGGAATTAGGGCTCTGTTTCTCCAGCCACTGCAGGCAGCCGTCGTCCTCCTCCCAGAGAGTGGGTGTTTTTGCCGGATTCGAGTGGCGGCTCAAAGGTCCGACGAGGAAAACGGCGGCGGAGCTTTTGGGGATGGGGTTTTCAAGGAGAAGCTCTTCCGGGAAGGAATTAACGAGAATCCATTGAAGAGATTTGGCTCGAACCATGGTTCTTGTCCAGAATTTGAACCTCGCTTTCCTTGCCGACGAAGTTCCGATCAGCCACGGCAGTTCTTCTGTAGACAGCAGCGGCTGGTTCGGAACGCACCGTTTTGATCCTTCTTCTGGACATCCTGTTCAAAATTCAAGATTTGCATTCTTCATTATAATCTTTTAGATTGTTAATTAAGCTTAATTAAACAAAGTTTAAAGACTAATGATAGATTTACATGTTTAAATATAGAATTTAGATTGAAGAAAACCCAACCAATGACAGTAAGACACGTGGCAGAAATAGAAAAATACGGTATTTTTTTTTCTTATCTCTTTGACTAAAATTTTAAAATAAAACGGGAATGAAACTTAAAAATATATATATTTATTTATTTTAAAATAAAATGGGAATGAAACTTAAAAAATATAGGATTTTATTTTAAAAATACCGTATTTATTTTACATGTTTAAATATAGGATTTAGATTGAAGAAAAGCAACCAATGGGAGGAAGACACGTGGCAGGAAAAGAAAAATACGTTTTTTTTTTTTTTTTTCTTATCTCTTTGACTAAAATTTTAAAATAAAATGGGAATGAAACTTAAAAAATATATATTTATTTATTTATTTTAGGTAATTAAAGCATTTTTTTAAAAGAGAGATATGATGATTATTAAATTAATTATAATATAAAAAAATGGAGCAGAATATGGTTGACCCAAAAACTATGGGTTATTATTTTATTTGTCAAAAAAAATGAAAAATAAAAAGGGTGGTAACCTGTATCGGAAGAAATAAGGCTGTTCCTGACCATGTCAGGAACAGCTGAAATGAGGTTGTAAGTTGCAAACATGGCTGGCCAAAACCCAGCCACGGCTACGCCATACTCCTTTCCAACTTCGATGGCTGAAGAAGCCAGCAAGTCGACCACCATACAAACGACGCCACTTCCGTTCGAGTTGTACTCACCCAACACTCGTCGAACGTAGCTCGGCATGGTGGTCTCCAAGGCTGTCTCGACGGTGAAAAAGTCATGTGGCGTGTTGTCATCGACAGTGTCCGGCATAGAAATGAAGAGGATTTCATTGTTGAGTGAAATTTGCGACGAGATATGACTGTGGATGTAGCTAGGCGTGAGAAATATAGGAAGGAAACCTCGGCGTTGGAAAACAGCAGCGAGCATGAGCATCGGTGTGACGTGACCTTGAGCCGGGTATGGCACGAATAGCACCCTTGGTTTGTTCGAGACATGCTTCATGTTTGGCACAATGACTCCATGAAATATGTCGATATATATACATAGGGTGGGGTGGGGTGGGGTAGGGCGACAAGCATGTGAAATTAACTTTCTTTTTAAATTAATTATATTACTTTTTAAATTCTTTTTTTTTTAATTAATTATGGATATTTTAAAAGATCCAACCCCTTTATTTAATTAAATAATTAAATTTTAATATTCATTCCCTTCCTAAAAAATAGGAGGTTTTGATCTATCTACAGGAATTCAAAATCAGTAGAAAAAGTAAATTTTTTATGATACAGCAGATTAGACTCTCTTATTGATATAGTGAATAGATCTGTCATTTTTTTAAATTCAAAATCTTGGTGTAACGTGTATGTTCCCGTCATGGAATAGATGAAATAAATAAATAAATGGTGTTTTGTAAATACGTAATTATCTTAAACCATTTTATTTATATTATATAAATTATTTATAAAGTTAAAAATATGACACGAGTATTTGAAGGATTATATTATGTCTGAATATTATTTTAATGGAAGGAATAATATGTCCATTTCGATTGACTTTTATTCTGAATTTTCAATTTATTCTAAATTCCAGTAAATAAATAAAGCTGTAATGACGTTTTAAATGTTGAATGAAAAAACGTGTACTATGATAGTATTATGATATTTCTGAATTTGAATGAATTTATTTTATTTATTTATTTATTTTCAAATATGTAAGCATTAATTTTGGCCACTTGGGCATTGAAATAAATAATAAAAATTAATTCATTGGTTGAATGGAATTTGAATTCAATTATTAATTTATGGAAGACTTTATGGAAATAAATTAAATTTCAAATTCATTATTCTCTTAGGTCTCTTGTTGAATTATTCCAAAATGTATAAATATAATGAAAGATGATTTAAATGAAAAAAAAAATGATACCATGCTTCCAACTAATTGATATAAATATAAAATAATTAATTATTTTCGGGAATTGATTTCTTTGTTAGTTTACGTGTAAATTAATTTAATATTTTAATTTGTTATTATAAAGTTTTATCACATCTGGTTGGTATTGTTGGTATAGACAGTAACTATTATATTTTTTTTTTTTAAAATTAACCATCATATCTCCATAGTCACTCTCATTTGAATGTGGTATCAGTTCATTCACATATCGCATACATCACCTACCCACCAATTTTTTTTTTAAGATGTTTCACTATTAGTAAATTTGGTCATAGCCCTTCGTTGTAACGTGTAGTGCGATAACTTCTCGCAACGTAAATGTAAATTTTAAATATTAATCTAAGTCTTGAACTTACAAAAAAAAAATACTTGATTTATTTATAATTTGATTTAAATAATATCGAATTAAAATATTAAAAAAATATATTACTTTTAGATAATGATAATTTCAAAATCAAACAAAATATTTATAAAAAATGTTCGTTTAAGGAATTACAATCCAATTTACTCTAAAATTATTTTAGATACGTATTAAATTCGGTAAGAACAGAATAAATTATATTCAAATTTTGAGAAAATTTAAATTATTTAAAACTATCATATTATATATATATATATATATATATATATATATATTATTGGAGAGTAAATAGAACACACAAAACACGTTGCCATGACTATAGTACCAAAAGGCACATACTTTTCCTTTCATCATCATGCATTATAATGATGAAAAAAAACACAGTATCCGTATTTTTAAATATTAAAATTTAATTTTTATTTTAAAATAAAATAAAATTAGTCATTTAATATTTTAATAATAAATAAATAATATTGATAATAATTTTCATCCAAAAAAATATAATTTATTCAATAAATACGAATATTTAAAATAAATAAAAAAAACTTAACGAAAATAAAATAAATAAAGTAAAATAGAATAAATTGAAAAGTACTGATTTAACTTAAATATTCATAATTCACTTTTTTTTTTTTTTTGCTTTAATTTTGTTGGTTTGTTTTGGTGTTCAAATTTGGCAGAAAGGCACGCCCACCACTACCACCATCCATATTGTTTAGGTATATGGCCATTTGGGCTTATTTTACTCAAATTTTTTTTAATTTATTTTATTTTAATTCGACATAAAATTACTCCCGTGATTATGAAATTCTTATGATTGAGCTATCGAAGAAAATGTGTAGTTTGTTGGTATTAACAGTAACTTTCAATTCTGTTAACTCTTTTTAGTTCTCCTATTCTCAGAGGACTCAATTCATTCATGTACCCCTCATTTACTCAAATGTCAATACAAATTTCAAATTAATATTGAAACATAATTTTGAAATAATATATAGTCATCATTGTTGATATATATATATATATATATGCAAGTGCACTATAAATTAAACCTTATATATAATTTTATTTAATTTATTTCTAAAAATAAATTTAGTACAATTTGCATATTTTTATTGTTTATTTTTAATACTAAATATAATGTGATGTTGACTATTACAAAAATTAATTACAATTCATTTTATTTTGTACAAATGTAATTCCAACACGTGGGTAAAAAAAGTACACTAATTTATTTATTTATTACTTTTTTTTATTAAATTAATTAAAAAATATTTATCAACTTTTACTTTGTCAACTTTTCATATTTAAAAAAAAAAAAACATAACCCGTTAATATATTTGTTTTAAAAATACATTTTTAAAAATTTTAATATGGTTCAAATATATTCATAAATTTTCATTAATACCCTTAATTTTTTTAAAAAAATAAAAAATACTCCTATATGAAAATATTTGGACCCGTTTGTATTTTATTTAAAAAATATTCATAAATTTTTATCAATAGAAAATTATTAGTATTTTTATTTAAAATTTTTACTAATATCCTTAAATTTTAACAAAAATTAAAAAATTGTTAATTTTTATTTAAAAAATTCTAATTTGAAAGTACAATATTTAAAGATATAAAGTTGATCAATATTTTTATTTATAATTAAATATCTGATTCAATTATTAGAGTGTGCCAATTATTTAATATTATATTCATCCCAAAAATTTTATTTTATTATTTTTTTAATTTAAATAGCCTGCCGACTAAAAATTCCACCTGTTCCTCCAATCAAGCAGCACCTATAGTCTAGGGCTTCAATAGAATGGCCTATTGATATTTATTAAAAAATAAATAATATATTAAATATTTAAAAAATAAAATTAAATATTTCCAAGCTTATATTAATTTTATAGCACATGGTCGTGTTCATAGGTGAGGTGTATAAGAAGAATAAATCATTAATTGGGTATCACTCAATTAAATTTCTTTATCTTATATTTATAATGCCATGTTCCTTCAAATATATATATATATATATATATACATATATATATATGATTTCGTAAAATGAAAGTAATTATATTAAAAATATATTCATTATTATTATTTTGAGAAAAAAATTGAAAAAGTCAAGAGTAAAATATAGATACAATGAATTTGCTTACGTAATATGCAATTAGGATTAATTTAAAAAACTATTTTTAGAATTAAAATCTGAATATTAAAATCAAGTTGTTTGGGTCAAGATTACCGACATGGGTACAAAATCTTAGTATATTAAAATTAAAAATAAATAATATTTAATTTTTATTCTTAAAAAAAACTTTAAAATTAAAAATAATTTTACGGTTGAAAATTTAAGAGTATTTTTAAAATAAAATATTAACCACTAAATTTATTTTTATTAATTAAGAAACTACATGGAATAACAATTTTTTTTTTTAATAATAATTCTTTTTTTAATTGTGCAACCGAGATTACTAGAAGCAGTACTCTCGACCTGATGGAGAATAGGAGGCTAAATGACCATAGTGTATTTGAAACCACAACTTGCTTACTCGAGTCCTGTATGAATATACTGAAAGGGTGCTCGGACAGGTCCTCTGTGATGACCCCTGAAAATGGTACTTTTGTATTTGAAAAAAAGGGTATATTACGATGTATATGATGTGATGTCAAATAAGAAGAAGGTCTCGTTCATTCTTTCGCACGCTCAAAAAATGGGTTTGAAAGCAACTTTGTATTTATATGTTGATTCTAGGGTTTTCTAGAGTCGATATTTACTAAGCAAAATTATTTGTTTTACGATAAGACGAGATAAGATTTGCACGTGTACGAGTCATAATAATTGATAAAAATAAATTAGTTTAAAAAAAAAAGATGATTATGAACGGTGGTCGCTGAAACGTGACTAATCGAAAATATTGTCGTAAATAAATTATTCATTGAATTTTTCCATGTGATGAATTTTCCATTATCCAAGACCAGTCATATTTCCACTAACTAAGAAATAATCAAGTGGTTTTCTTTGTCTTTTTCTTCTTTTTTTTTTTTTTTTTTTTTTTTTAATAATTTTTATCTTAATTATCTCCTTTTTCTTTAGTGATTTGAAGTGTGAAAATAAACCTTGGAAAATCCAAAAATCCTAAAGATAAATATATACATTTAAAAAAACCAGATTTGGACGTTTGAACCGGTGAGATCCCACATCGATTGCAGAGAAGAACGAAACGTTACTTATAAACGTGTGGAAACTTCTTCTTAATAGACCGTTTTAAAATTTTTTGGGAAAATTGATAAGGGAAAGCTCAAAGCGAACAATATCTGCTAGCAGTGGGTTTGGGTTGTTACAAATGGTATTAAAGTTAGACATCGGGCGGTGTGTCAGCGAGAACAATGGATCCCCAAGGGGGGTGGACTGTGAGATCCCACATCGGTTGGAGAGAGGAACGAAGCATTCGTTATAAAGGTGTGAAAACCCGAAGAGGACAATATCTACTAGCAGTGGGTTTGGGTTGTAACAGAACCTCCGACCTAAGGGGAATAAATACATGTCAATCACTGTTAAGCTATGCTCGTGTTAAAGCAAAAGTATAATCCATTCTTTCAGCTTCGTTCTACTACGAAACAATTATACGAAGGAAGAGTAAGCTACTCGGTAACAGCTAAATAAAGTCGATAAAGATAAGAACACAAAAAAAGCACGTAATATAATATGATACGAGACA